CACTGATGATAACAAATAAATTTTCTTGACAGAAACTGTTAAGCTTGATATGTCAACTATTTACTATGGTAACCGTATGCTTCCCTCTCTACATCAGTAACTCAAAACCTGACAATCGTAAAGTTAGCAGCGAGTTGTTTGTAAAAATGTTGCAACCCAAATGACATACAACCTATAGTGTTGACATAAACAAAAACAAAAATGGCCGATGCCAGATCTTGTGAGACTCTGTGAGATTTTGTGAGCTAATTGACAAAAGTTTACTTTTGGGCCATGAAAAAGGTTGTACAAGATAAGAATATTAAAAATATGATTTATACCACAAGAATGAATTTAAGTGAAAAAACAAATAATTGCATAATAAGACTAGATGTCCAAACAGCCCCATCACATTATTAATTATGAAGCTAAAAATGCCTCACTTGTTAAATCTGTTCCTGTGATTTATCTCAGTCTGTGTTTGATATAAAATGTTTATACTATTGTTTGTAATATTTGAAGGCATATTTCATGAGCTGCTGTTTGTGCATATATATGTTTTCATACGCTTAACCATATTATTATTATATTACCCAAGCACCCTAAATTATTCATGAATAATCATCTTTCATAACATTTATTTGTATTACTTGCTTTTTCACACTCAAATTATGTCTTACTAATGGTGAAATGACAGAAAAAAACAATATTCTCATAAATAAACACCTAAATTAGACATTTGTTTTTAATTTACAATCAAATCTCAATTAGTAGACTCTACAAAAAAAAAAGCATAAAATTATCTATAAATAAGTTTTATCACCCTTCAGATTATGTGATTAATTGGCATGCTACAATTTATATTTAAACTATAAATAATTTGTTTTTCTCAGATTTTAATGCGTGAAGCAGCTGAAGGCATTAAAAGAGTGGCACTTGAGTTAGGTGGACATGCTCCATTCATAGTATTTGAGTCAGCTGATATAGATGCAGCCGTAGTGGGTGCCATGATGGCTAAATTCAGGAACTGTGGACAGGTATATATGAACATAGGGGCTTCTGTTTATTACTTGAAAAAACAATTACTGATTTATTTGACATCTCTCCTGGGATTTAAAACAATACTAATTTTAGCACTGTCATGTTATTTTGTTTTGTGTGTGATTAAGGTACAGATGCATGTTTGTGGGCACTCGGAGTGAATTTTTTTTTTTTGCTTCTCTTACCCAGACAGTCTTGGCTAGATAGTGTTGAAATTTTGGACATGCCCAAAAATGGATTTTAAAATATAGGGAATCGAGGCACGCGTATGTGATTAAAAGTCCCGAAAGTTTGTTTACGTTGCTCTTTGATTGACAAGTCACTGTTGATGTTATATGCAAATGAGTTGCTGGCCTCAGTTACGGTGTGGCGATATGTAACTTCCTGTCCGCGACCCTGTTTAACTTACCTCAAGCGCTACCAACTAGTCTTGCAAACTACAAAAAAAAAGACAAGACGTAGACATAGACGCTTCCAGCATACAAGCGGAATACAAAAAACATACAGTTGTAAATGATAAGTAAACTTTTTTAACTTCTAGCCTGGCAGCTTCCAGTGGAGTACTGTTAAATATTTTTTTTTTCACGAATTTTTGTCTCCGAAGGCATTATAAAACTGACTAATTTTACATTTGTCGTTTCGCTGTAACGACCACTGTGCTGATAGCATTGCGATATAGTAGTGGATAAACACCATTCAGACCACTGCTGTGCTGTCATCGATAACTAACTTTTCAGTGGCAAAATCACAGTCACTCTCCTAGTAGAATGACTGTGGCAAAATACACAAACATGAAATGCTCGGTTACTTAAAAATAAAAAATACCCCGAAAATTACTGAAACATCGGCAACGAGATGCTGTTTTTAAACACCGCGGAAAAATCACGCACTCTGCGATGCCATCTTGGTTACCTTAATCGGAAACTCCCTTGTCAGCTAGCATGCGACTGTAGCGATGTGGCAAAGTACGCTGTACGGCCGTGCTCGGCGACCTCTGGTACTATGGCACTCTATAAATGAGGTATTTCCAGAGGTCAGGCTTCGTTTTAATTTTTATCGACCCAACGTGTCTGCTCGTAGTTGAATGAAACCTGTTTCGATTTACAATAGTTGTCTTTCATTTCGACTTTTTCTCACCGGCGTTTGAGCGATTGAGTACAAAAACTGTGAATAGCCGTTGTGTAGCAAAATATTATGGCCAGGTTGGCCATTTCAACCTGGCCGTCTAACTTCGCACGACCCATTTCACCGGAGATCGTGAAAAACTGCGTCATACAGAGTATTTGTTAAAGGTTTGAGGAAAGGTAAATTTAGACTCAACCCACCCAATGGGGATCACTATGTTTGTATAACTGTATGAATATCTCATCGGCTTTACGTAATCCATTGTGCCCCTCCCTAAGTGGAAAAGATAACACAACGCCATGACAGTTTTCACGCAAGGTTTTGACTCCGCGGACAATTTTACGTCCGTTTCCCAAGTATTCTAAATATTTTTATTTTATTTTTTCATCTGACGATTGAACATCAGCAAGCGTCGATGTATGATGGATTTTGGCATGTCGTCGTGATGCAATAGCCATTTTTGTGGACGATTAACGTCACTTTCATAAAACGGCCATCATCTCCGTTCGTGTTTTCTGGTTAGTCAGTGAGATTGAAAATTAATTAGCTCCTACAGATCTTGTCAGTTTGTCTTGACATTTTCACACTATTTTGACAACATCTCTACGAACAAAAGGACGTCTGGACTTATTTTTAAAGCTTTGCATTCTCGGACAATGACATTCGAAGTGTGAAATACTGACCGGGGTTGAATATACGGCACACATCCTGCTTGATAACTTTGTAATATGAAAACAAAACATACTAAATATACGCCTGGACGCCCCTTTGTTAATAAACAACTGATAAACGTTGTGTGAAAGCTTTACTCAAAATAAACAAAAATTGTGCGAGCTATTTAGATTTGAACTTCCATGGTAAACTGAAAAACACAAGTGGAGATAATGGCTAATTTGCATAACCATTCACTCGGTAAGAAGTTTGCTAATGCTCATAATTAAAATGGCTGTAACTGTTCCAAATTTAAATGTATTATCGTTTTGTAAAAAGTTAAATATAGTGCATAATATGGAGATCCCATCATTACTTTTTTTTCACCATGTTTCTTTTTGATTATTTATGTACAGCCTTGCTAAATCTTGCTAAGCATTAAAAAGAGAGAATGTTTGTACCAGTTTTCTATATTTTAAAATCGTCTTTTGAGTATGTTCCACTATTCACAATGCTGTGAAATTTTAACAGTCTATAGCCAAGACTGTTTGGATAATAAAAAGCAAAAAAAAAGAAAATTCACTCTCAAGTGCCCACGAACCTGCATCTATACCTTAAATAAATCAGGCCCTACAAAAATATATTATTTTATTATAAATATATTATTTTGCATTTTTTGTGAATATTTTAAATTCATGTAAAATTTAGCTGATTTGCATAAAAATAAAATGTTTGAATTTTTGAAAGATTTTAGCTTGATTTGTGAATATTAAAATTTGTTTATTTTGATGTAATAAATAACATTGCTCATGAATAGTTATATTTATTTTATTTTTGTTCTCAAGGCGTGTGTTGGTGCAAATAGATTTCTTATTCACTCAAGCATATATGATAAGTTCTGTAGTAAACTGGCTGATGCTATGAAAAGTCAGTTAGTAATAGGGGATAGTATGGATGAATCAGTTACGATTGGTCCTCTCATCAATGAACGTGCTGTTGAGAAGGTGAGTTGGCTAGTAAAAGGTCAAATTAGCATATTTGGTGAGAGATAATAACCATCCCATTATTATTATTGTCATTTATAACCTCCATTAATACAAGTATCGGATAACTTCTGTTACGTGTTACCTAAACTGACTCGTAAAATGAGCAAGGCTATTAAATTGAATAAATTATTAAAGTTGAATTTCAACTCTGCAAAAAATTAAAATGATGTTGCATTTTATATACTGAAAAATGCAGTATCCTGCCCTCACTTACTGGTTCATTTCATTCTGAGAGTACTAGAGGGTCTTATCCCTTATATGAGCATACCTACAATGTACCTCACTTACTGGTTCATTTCATTCTGAGAGTACTAGAGGGTCTTATCCCTTATATGGGCATACCTACAATGTACCTAGTTCATTTCATTCTGAGAGTACTTAAGGGTCTTATCCCTTATATGAGCATACCTACAATGTAACTAGTTCACTTTATTCTGAGAGTACTAGAGGGTCTTATCCCTTATATGGGCATACCTACAATGCAGTATCCTGCCCTCACTTACTGGTTCATTTCATTCTGAGAGTACTAGAGGGTCTTATCCCTTATATGGGCATACCTACAATGCAGTATCCTGCCCTCACTTACTGGTTCATTTCATTCTGAGAGTACTAGAGGGTCTTATCCCTTATATGAGCATACCTACAATGTAACTGGTTTTCTAATTCAATGGGTGTCTTGTTCAGGATAAACTGATATCATTGAATTGCATATTGAGACGTTTATTAAATTAAAACTTGTTATATTGGTAGGTTGAAAAACATATCAAAGATGCAGTGGATAATGGTGCATCTATTGTAGTCGGTGGTGATCGTAATAGTCGTGGCAATAACTATATCAATCCAACATTACTGAGAGATGTCAAACCCAGTATGCTTATGTGTCAAGAGGAAACATTTGGACCAGTAGCACCACTTATTAAGTAAGTCAATAATAATGTTCATAATAATATAGCATGCATACTATAATGAAGAATGACTGTCATTTCCAGTAAATTTACAACATTTTTTTTTGCCACAGATTTGACACAGAGGAGGAAGCGGTTTCTATTGCTAATGACACTCGGTCTGGACTAGCTGGTTACTTCTACACAACTAATTTACTTCAAGCTTGGCGTGTGGCTGAGGCGTTGGAGTGTGGTCTAGTTGGTATCAATGAAGGTCTTGTCTCAACTGTGGAATCACCATTTCAAGGATTCAAAGAATCCGGAATTGGCTCAGAGGCTTCCAAATATGGAATTGAAGAGTACTTAGAGAAGAAAACTATTTGCTTTGGTGGGCTATAACAAAAAGAATCAGCCTGTTTGAAAAATTCTGGTCATAACAAAATGTCATATGTTGAAATAAATGGGAATCTTACAATTGTGACTGTGATATACACATTGACGGATTAAAGCATACTATTGTATATAATATATTCATTATAAATAAACTGATGTATGGCGATTTATAATTGTTATGTAATTTTAAAAAAATCTGCATTAATGTACAATTTTTTGTCTTGGGTAGTACAGAGATCTCAACAGAGATTTGGAAATGGAGATCAGAATATTATGCATTGTGCTCATAAAACTGAATATATATTTTAAATCTATTATTATGAAATATAGTAATTCATTGTAAAAATATAATTTGCTGGTACTTCTTTGACTTGTGTAACTCATGAATGATGAAAGAGAACATAATTTGCCAGTGACACTAGATTATCTTTTGAGTGATCAAATTTAATACATAATTAACTGGGGTAATGTGCAGACATGATTAGTTTTAGGGCCATGCCCCCATGCATATTAAGTAACTAATTTGCATATTATCTCATTTCTGCTTTTGAAAACATAATCTCAAAAACTTACTAGCAGATTTTGATTAACTTTGCTATATATTGGTTCTGAAAATCTGCTGGCTGATGATCCTAATATCTAATGTCATTGTTCTTTCACTGACTGTTGAGAATATGTTTTTAAAAAACTACAATAATTGCATGTATTCTGTATTCACACAGGAGCTTGAAGAGTTTAACTTTTTATTAGCTCCGCTGTCGACTTTGTCGAGCGGAGCTTATTATATGAGTGATTGTCCATCGTCGTCCGTGTTAATGTTTTACTTTTTCAACTTCTTCTTGGAAACTACAAGCCTGAATGCTTTGATACTTGGTGTATATGTATCTTAGGTACACCTCTCTCAGATTTGTTCATTTTGTAACGATATCTTCAATTCTCTAATTTTGGTGAATATTTTTGGTAAAAAGTGATATTTTCGACTTCTTGTTAAAAACTGCAAGTCCAATTGATTTGACATTACATATATAGGTACTACATGTGGACCTCTTTCAGATTTGTTCATTTTGTAATGATATCTTTAATTCTCTAATTTTGGTGAATATTTTTTAAATTTTTGGTAAAAAGTGATATTTTTGAATTCTTGTTGAAAACAGAAGTCCTGTTGCTTTGATACTATACATGTTGTTAATTTTCTAATATCTTCTGTTCTTTATTTGCAATGTGCATCGCTAACAGCGGAGCTATCTCAGCCGACAGGCTGCTTGTTACTTTTGAAATATCTTTATACTCTTGGAACAGAACATTGTCACAGAATGTTCTATGTTGCTAAGATGTACACCACTGTACCATGTATTCCTAACACTGATTGCATATATTCTGTATTCACATGGGAGCTTTGCGTTTGAAATTATTTTTTTTTCCCTTTTGGCTATTCATAGAAACTTTCTGCAGGCAATGAGTAAATGCTAATGTGTGAGTTTTATCCCCATCAGTTAAGTCCTATGCAAATTAAGGATAATGAATTGGACCTAGTTCATGTTTGTGTGCATGAATTGGTGTGTTTGTATCAGTATGCAAATGTAATTTCAACGACAATTATACCATTAGTTGCATTAGACCAAGTTCCACAAAAGCCCAGCCATTGAAACAAGTTTACAAGAAAAACCACCTCTTATTACATACACACTAAATTTGCCGATCTTTGCCACATATTACACATATCAACACAGCAAAAATGTGTCCCCTTTGACTTCTTAAAATACCAAAAACAAGACCATTTAAAATGTATAAAAGGGATATCTAGACCATTGAAACTTCCTAAAAAGTACCCCAAGACCATTGAAAATGTCAAAAAGAAGCTCTAGGCCATTGGAAATGTATAAAAGGGACCCCTGTACCTTCGAAAATGTCAAAAAAGAGACCCTAGGTCATTGAAAATGAATAAAAGGGACCTTGATACCTTTAAAAATGTTCAAAAATGCCCCATAAACCATTGGAATATAGCTATACAGCCTCTGTGTAGCTTGGGAGTAGCTAGCCGTGG